GAGAGACTCCCCGGCTCCCTCCCTCCCTCGCACACAGCGACTGGAGACGGACGGAGAGCAACGCGCTGGGAGAGGAGAGACCACCGAGAACAGCCCCGCGCTCTCACACATACACGCACACTCCGCTCTTTCCTCTCCCCCCACCTCCTCCTCCTTCCACCCCCACCACTAACACCATCTCCTCCTCCTGCTCTCTGCAACAAGAAAAAAAAAAGCCATTTACAGGTATTTTTTTTTTGATCCGCATATTTATTTATCCCCCCTCCCCAACAGTTTGTTTACAAGTATTAAAGTTGTAATTGGGAGCTGCCAAGACACATCTGGATTTGTGTTTCTTTGTGTTAGGGGTGATGTGCAACTAATTAAAGGCAGACTGGCAGCGTCTGCAAATTCTAAGGCTCCCCAAATAAAAAGAGACTGGTAAGTGATTGTTCTTTCTCTTTCTCTGGCTTTTTTTTTTTTTCTCTCTCTCTCTCTCCTCTCTCTCTTAAATGTGTGCTGTCCGTTGGGATTGTAAAAGTAGATTATTAATGCTGGACTCCAGCTATAAAAGGCGTCGCTGTATTAATTTATTAATTAATCTGCACCCGCCCCTCCTCCTGAATGTTAAATATGACCTTTGATCTCTCTGTCTCTGCTAGACCAGACGTACAGTATTAGACATGTACAGTCACATTGTTTGAGGGCAAAACAGGCTCATGAAGTGTGGATGTCTAATGTAGCTTTGGAATAGGACTAGAGTTATCCGTGTGTTTTATTTTGCTTTTTTAAAGAAAATCCAAACAATAGCTACGGTTTAGGTACCTTGTTCATGCTCCAGCGAGGCATTGATTAAACAATAATGACCTGGATCCTGGGCACAGTCCTTTTCTACAGTTTCTGGTGGCATTAAACCTTGAGGGAGGAAGGGGGAGGTGATGGCAATAAGAAAAGCAAGGGAAGCTTCTGTTTGGAAACACCACTCTAATACTCTGGAAAATAAAGGCTATTAAATGATGTCTTTATGTGGAACAAGGTCGAAAAGACTAAAAGGTTGAAAATTTTCCCTCCACTCAATGTGATGCTATCTAATGCATGGTTGGCATAACTAGTTTTTACTGAGTAGCAGTTATTATGGTCTTGGAGTTATAATGTGATTCGCAGGAACTGAAGCTATATGCATATTCTTGCTGTGTTTTCCCCCACCCCCTTCCAGGCATCAAGAATATTTAGCCAGGAGCATTTTGGGGTACCCTTTGTATTGCCGTGAGAGCTCTGAAGGGAGCAGTTTTTCCTAATGCGAAACCACAGAGGTGGTTCCTGAGTGATTAGGGACTTGCTGTGATTGAAAGATGCCTGCTAGCTTCTAATCCAGCCTGGGGTGAGGTTCCTTATCTTGATTTACTTTGCCTAATAGGGACTTGTTTACATAAACCCCTCTTTTTAGGGCACCTCATCAGCAGGTCTTGAAGTTTTTGCACTTGGAGTTTGGGCAGAAATGGTTCATTAATCTAATTATAAGCATAATTACTATAATTGATATGCATTCTGAACTGAATGTATGAGGCTGAGACTACTGGGCCCCATTTAGGATTCCCTAAACTCCACATTCTAGACCAATATGTGGGCTTCAGAAGATGTCACAAAAAGATATTCTGGCCTAAAAAAATAATAATCTGGAAACAAAGAAACTGGATTTTTAGGTTAATATACACTTTATGTCTTTGCTTTTCTTCTTAAAAGGCTGTGGTGTACCTCTCCCTTTGGAATAAACAACCAAAACACCTCTTCCTAAAGCAAAATAACGGTTTGTAAGCAAAGAGATGAATGCAAATATCCAGTTAACATTAAACTTTCCTCTTAAAAAGGAGCAAAAGAAAAACATAATTTTGATGGTTATTTCTTCAGGTAAACAACACCTTAAGAGACACCCCTCTTCCCCAATTTACTTAATGTAAAAACCAGTGACTGAGAGAGACTTAAAAAAAAAAATTTTTTTTTTTAAAAAGTCCCATGCTTTCTTCTTGGGAAGAGACAGGAACCTCCATTAGGAATTATTGGAAATATTCTTATGGAGGCTGCAGGCACTTGGTTTAAAACCTGTGACATTATTGGTGTTACTTAAAAAAATTTTTTTTAATCGAGTCCATCTTTCTTTTCTTTCTTTTGAAACAAGTAGAACACCACCCTCTTACCCCCACCAAGCCCCACCACCAAATGGCTTGTACAATTGAGACCTGTCCTTGGTCCTTTGAATTAAGACCCTAACAGAGCCAGCTGTGCTGGGATTCAAACTAATGACCGCAGACACAGAAGGACACTGTGGCAGCTGGTAGTTCTTTCCCCCCCTGCCTCTTTAGTTCAGATTGTATGTGGGCAGCCTCCTAGCTCTCAGTTGTATTGTGTTTGCTTACAGTTTATACTCGGCTGTATTGTAGACTTTCTCCGTACTTCATTTGCTAATTTCCTGTTCGTTTTCCTCCTAGAGCCATTGCTGTTTTCTACTTTACAGCATTTGCATGCCCAGGCAGCACTTGTTCACACATTTCATAATGTTTAAATGCCCTCTGCTTCTAGGTAGTATCGCCCTCCCACCCCTGATTTGCATGTCTTTAGCACTCCAATTGCCCTTTTCCCTCGGCATTTGTCACCCCCGTCTCTCCCCTTTCCTTGGGTATCTAGGCTATTAATACATTTTCTCAGGAGGGTTATAAGAATAGCGGGGAGGAGCTGTGGTGTGCTGGAGGGAGGTAGGAAGGGAGGGAGGGAGAGAGCGCGGTTGGGAAGGGGGGGGTCATGTCTTGATGATTGTTATGCAAACGACCTGACGGAGAATGTGGGAGCTTTCGGTGTCTGTGGCGGAATAGTGAGGGAGGCTGTTTATTTATTTTTAATCTTTTTCCTCGTGCAGCTCGTTGGAATGACTTTCTTTATTTTAGTTGTAACAGTTGGAGGATAATGCAAAGGAAGACGCTGCCTGGGAATTCACCGTCTGTGGAAATGCGCCCCAGAGAGGAATAAAGCAGTCCTCACCTTGCTCTCCCCACCCGGACCCGCCTTCCCCTCCCGCCTCGACCCCCACCCCGACACCACCATCACCCCCTTCCCTCCCCCTCACCTCTCCCCCTTTCCCACCCCGGTGTCGGACCAGGCGGTCCCCACTTCCACCCTGCACCCCTTCTTCCCCCCCTGCACCATGAACACCAATGTCTGCGTGGAGCCCGGGCCGAGCCCGGAGGCCCCGGGCTTGCCCAAGGAGAGCCACCTGCCCGAGGGGGCCCTGAACAGCCTTGTGGATTACAACTCGGAGATGGAGCGCTCCCTCTCCTTCGCCACCTCCTTCTACAAGACCAACGGGGGCGCCTTCCCG